CATTGGCCTCCCCATTCATCCTGAAAAGAGGAGAGAGTAACCACCTCTTGGCAACCCTACTTTCAGATCATGGCAGCCTAGTGAAACCCAAAGCAAGTAACATGACCTACAGAGTTGATCTATCTAATTTCTGCTAAAATTTCTGCAATAGACAAGAGTGATTATATCCTTCAAATTGTGCTGTGTTGAGGGCCCTCAAAATACTGATATTGGGGAATGCAGGAGGATGTCCTTACACCTTCCTCCATCTGGAAAAGGACACATATTAGGAAAGAACATGCTGCTACCTGTGACATGAGAGGAGCTGGCATCCTTGCTCTCTCGGTGAGTAGTACGTGCGATTGCTTCATCCATCTCCTGCTCAGAAACCTAAAGTCCAGTGGAAGGCAGAGATCAAACTGGGTAGATGAAATGAAGATGAAAGTCTGACCACTTAGCACTACAAATATGTGATTCATTTCAGATATGCTACTATTCTTAAAGATGCAGTAAAGATGACCTAGCTGATTCCTCCTAAGTCCTGGTCCCCTGATTCAGACTCCCACCATGCCACTCTCCCGCAGAAACCTGGAGGCAGAAGCCTGCTGACTTAATGAACACTACATCCAAGTAACACATTATGCCAACAAATAAAACAGCACTAGACTTAAAGAAATCAAATGAAACCATTACAGCACAATTTTAACTCAATTAAATGCTGTACATTGATTTATCAAGAAAATATTACTTTCAAATAGATAAAGGCTGCTTTGTATAAGCATACATCAGCAAGAGAAGATATTCTATACTTAACCTACCAGAAGAATACCAGACTTCCCGACATATTAGCTGTCTTTTTAATTTTAATTTCTCCTTGCTTTTAAAACAAAAACCTAAATCTGTAATTGGTAATGTTTCTCTGGTTTAAGAATAAATACTGGTTTACTATGTTCGCTAATTTTGTCCTGAATTACTGCCCTGCACTTAATTCTTATTACTGGAAAACTCCATATAATTTTATAACAGGAAAAACTAGTCTGCAGGAATATATATTTAAAAACAGAAAGCAAGCTAATTCTGTCAAAAATTATTTCTACACACATTGCTTTACATGAATTAAAATTCAGCATAAATAGATACTAGAAACTCGAATCTTTCTGAACCATGACGATTTGGAAGATTCCTAAGCAAACTCAGCAGTTTAAACATAGTTTAAATGCCACATTCACTCAGAATAACAAGAAGAAAGAAAATGTTGTGGTATTTCTCTTGGAAGTACATGAAAACACCAAAGTGAACATATTCAGCAACAAAATGTACTGTGGACCTTTTGTATCATAAAATGAGACATTAAGTTTAAAAATGTCTAAAACAACATGAGCCTTTGTAGAAATACATCTCTGTTTTCAGCTTGTGGCATGACCTTAGAGGAAACCAAACACCTCCAGGCTCCTGGGGCACAGGGAGTTCCTACAGGACAGAGACCAAGCCCTGAGAGCATGCTCCAGGACCTTGACACAAACCTTTAGGTACAACACGTCCCAAGAGTAAAACTAGGTGCTGGGCAGACTGCAGTATTTGTTTAAAGCTAACCGAAAATCCACACTTCTGCAAGCTCTGCCCATTTTGATTTTAAGTATCCTCTATGCCTCAGGCAGACCAAACTGGAGAGGGACAAGCTAATTCCTAACTACAATCTGCAGGCTGGGGTATTATTAAGAGCTAATAAAATAAAATTTAAAAAAATAGAATACTCCCTACACTTCTGTAGATCCCTCTGTTAGAAAAAGGGTGACAGTGACATAACGATAAATATGGGTCCCCATATGGTCACTCCTCCAGAGATTCAGCTATGAGGGACTATGGATTCCACACTGCCTGGGGGCAAAAAATGCTTCAGGGTTTCTCCAGCTCAACTTCTAGCTTTTGTTAGCATTTCTTGGCAAAGGATCTGTTGTCATTTTAAATATCACTTATGGAAAACAGTAATAGGAGCCACTTAACAGTTTCCCTCTGTTATAGATTAATAGCAAGCAATTAGCTTAACTCAACCCATCTTCTCAGCAGATACCTGGTTAGGTCACTCATTGGGTTCAAGCCACCACCACAGCAAGACAAGGGACAGAGGAGAGAGGGCAGGCTCCACTCCATGGAGCCTTTATTTCATGCTACTTACAGACTCTCCAAAAAGTCTATAAACCTTAATAATGCAATCAAATCGAGCCATCGTACTGGTTCAGCACAGCATACAGAATGCCTGGAAATACTGTTATCTTAGGCTATAAGCCCAATTCTTAACCACTCCATGCTTACCTTCGACTAACGGAAACACGGACTCTTTCTTTTTAGCAGCACAAGGCCTTCCAGAAATGATAATAAATTCTGGGCAGTAAACCTCCATTTGTCTATTGTTTGTATATTTGATTTAGTAGAAAATATGCAACTAATTATAAAATAAGAAACCTGAGTTCTCCTAGATATGGCTTTATTAAGGCCCCCATTTGTAGTTATGAGTTCAAAAGTCAGAGCTCTCTAGACCCACTAATGCAAATATTTTTACAGCTTCATTCCTGTTTAAACAGGAAGATTTTGTACACTGGTGAAATTCTTTGAAATATTGAAATAAAATAAGTTGTTATTCCCTACAGCTTGGTTAGAATGCTTTTATCTTCTATCATCAATTTTAAAAAAATGCTTGAAAATACTCACTTTGTAAACACAGCCTTATTTCCAAGTTGTCCTTGCACAGATTTCACAGTAGCAGTACAACCCGAATTCTCATGTTTTAATTCCTGAAGGAAAACTGATCTTTGGACAGATTTTACTTTTTTTAAAAACAGTATTCCTATTACTTTATGATAGTTGATCAGTTCAATCTGTTGATATTTATATTCCTGGCCCTAAATTATATTCTACTCAAAGACAAACTAACTGCAAAATAACTTTAAGGAGGAACAGGACTTGTGCCATATTTTGGTTGACACTTGGTCCAAGTACCAAGAAATATGGGAACACTTCACTCAAGTAGTTCCAGGAAAATTGCATTTGATCAGTGGGTGACTAAGCGAAAAGCAGCAGGGACAGTCCAGCATTGCTACAACTTACAAAACCGGAAAGCATCATTACAATCCTGACTTCTTACGCAACACATGCCACAGAGAGAAAAATCCAATATTCCTCACTTGCTGCTTTCCCAACAGCAACACTCAAATTACAGTGCCAGATGAAAGCAACCCAGATACACTAACACATTCTCTCCTCACCTTTGGGTTAGGATGCCGACTAATGATAAGGCTGACAGGACCTGGACCACATTCGCTCAGGATGGCGTAGGCTTCACTTAACGCCGCGTGACGCAGGCTCACTGAATCTGCCTCCAGGATCTGGTCACCCCGACTGCAAAGAGATATGGAGCCAGTTAATCACAACTGCCTTTTACAAAAACATTTGTGCTTTCAACTGGTAGCCAAGCTTTTTCAAAGATACAAGTGTCTGGAAAAGATCTGACTTGCAAAGAAGCCAGTCTTGCTCTTGCTCCCAGTGACTGGAATGCTTTAAGCCCTGTTGACTTCGGCCAGGAGGTCCAGAGATTCCTTCAGCACTTACTGTCAGTGCTACAAACCCTATTAAATCAACAGAGAAAAACTGGCAGCATTTGGACCAGGGTGAAAGCAAACTTCAATTCCAGTTCTGCATTCAGATACTTGTTGAGCACAGAAGAAGAAAAACTAGATTCAGATGGGCTGTTCCTTCGCATCATATTAAACTACTTAACACAAACATTGATAAGAAATTCATGATTTAGATATGACCTTATGAAATGACTCCAGGAAAAAATTGAGTGTCATAAGCCTGCATTTGTTTCAAATTAACATATAGAACCCATTTAAACGACAAAAAAGAAAACAAAAACCTCTGAGAGGAAATCATAGATTGTTTAGTTTTGTTTTACCAACTTCTTAACCCTTGCACATGGTGCTCAGACATCTGGAACTATTCAAAAGAAAAGATCACCAGCTAGGGATATCATTAAAGCATTTTCCATAATTACTAGAGCATTTGCTTTAAACAGACATTCTCAAACAATCTACTACTGCTGATTTACATTGGGCTACTTGTGACAATGGAAGTGAGTTTACACTGTGAGTCTACACACCAAAGGCAAAAAGGCAATTGCACATGGCAGCCTTCAGTAACCTGTGCTGCTGGTACAAGCTCAGGAAAGCAAAGGGTGACCTATCAATTGTGTAATCATGCTATTGCTCTGCCCATCTGTTAGATTTAAACAGCTATTAGAAACTACACAAACGGAGTCACTGACACAGGCACATGATTGCGAGAGAGAGCTCAGATATGGAGGAGCTGGATTAAAACCTCTTCTGGTATTGCAAAGCCAGTATTTGATTAATGAAGTTTTCCAAAAATCAAAACCATCCTGTGAGTTTTGGCTTATGGAGCCATAAACCACTGATGAGACAACAGAAGCAATGGCTCAAAGTAGCAGGCTAGAAATCTGGGAAGCATGCCTGGATATAATCAATCACTTAAATCTAATAAATGATACAGCTGTTATATACAGATGCAACCCGCACTGCAGTCTTTTCCAGAGGGCTTATAAGAAAGCAAGTTAGCATTAAATACTGTCTCTTACAGACATTTCTATACGGCAGGAACTTGCAAGGGTTTTGGCAGGGATGCCACCATAAAACGATCTTCTTCCTTTATTCAAAAAAATCAAATTGCTCTACCAAAGTTTTCCTGGCGAGCAAGGAAACAGAAGGCACTCTCTACACATGTGAAAGCAAGGCATTTGCTCAGCCTCTCAGCACCAGTGCTCATGTTACACGTTCAGCATGGACCATGTGGTCCCAGCAGGTCTTCAGCACAACCTCCCCTCCTGAGTGATGCTCCCAGCAAGTGCCAGCATTTATGCAGGAACATATAAAGTTGGAAGATTTCCTCCAATGGTTTTCAGAAACGAAGCCTCCATGAGAGAAACAGCAAATACCTTTCTGTCACTTATTCCAACATAAAGCAGAGGGGAACCCTAGGAATGATTGCTTTTCTCTCTTACGGTTCCTTAAGGACATACAAACTCCACGACAAAGTAAATGAGATGGGCAAGTCAGCCTGCAGCGATCCTGCCAGACAGACAGTAAGGGCAGAAAAGCGCTGCTCGAGCCATGGGAACAGTCAGCTATAAGAACATCTACCCTAGCTCTTTTTACAAGTTTCAGGTGACTGAGCTTTTAGCAGAGCTCTGCAAATTTCCTCCCAATCCGGGGTCTCTGGCTGCAGCTCTGATAAAAATAGATGAGGCTGCACTTCTTGCTGCTCCCCTTTCTCAAAGGGTGCTATTAGGCTCATTTTCTGTATAGAGAATTTAAAAAATAAAAAACACAAACCTTAACGATTATGCTGCTTCCAGCACACAGAATAATGTTTCCTGGGTATTTAATACCACTTTGGAATGTCTTTATTTATATGTTTTCTTTCTGGTGAACTCTTTAAGTATAAATCCCCTCCCTGCTACACCAATCCAATTGGTGAAAACAAAGTCTCAACTGATTTTATTGTGAAGGCGCTCCAGCATGTTTCTGCTTTAACTAACCTTAATCTGCCATCCATTTTAGCCACTGATCCTGGGGCCAGGCTGTGAATGTATATCCCTGGACAACCGTTTTCCAGCGTGAGACAACAGGCACCAATGCCGAGCCCAACCCCTGGCTCTGTGAAAAAAAAAAACAAAAAGTACAAAGAAAAGTAGCAGATTGTAATCACACAGGACACACAAGTGTTTGTGTTCCCACATCCCATCTGAGACCAAGACTTATGTATTGTTTCAGGAGTGGCCTTAGATGCAGTCAGTCAGGAAGCCAAGACCAACAGTGGAAATCAGGATTGAAAATATTTGATCCTGACTGTTTTCTGAGATCCACCACTCCCAGCAGATTATCTGTGTGCTGTGGGAGCTGCCTGGAAATGTCACACAAGGTCTGGTCTGGTCCAAGGCACAAAGGAGTGGGGGCAGCAATCCAGGAAAGGTATCATTTAAAATCACTGCACAAAACGTGAAGACAGAAGATGCTACCAACTGTACTGCTCTCTTTCATAAATATATGCATGGCATCCCTCAGCAAAGCAGCACAAAGAAAGGTGAGGCGTTATCTCTAGTTCGATGATTACATCTGTCCACTTTCACTTTTGCTTTCCTTCATGTAACAGCATTCCTAAAGCAGGAATTGCTGGACATCTTACCTTTCCTCTCCACATTTTTAATGCAACCTTTAAATCAGCATATTTTAAGCCTTTAAAGTAGGTGTATTTGTCCCACTACATATAAGATATGCTCTAAGCTTACCTTGTGCAATCACTGATAATGACAGCAACCCTCAGGCAGGAGTTCAAACAGCTCATCTGGGCAATTGTGTGTGGTGTGGCCTGGCCTTCCTCAGAGCCACCCTTTACAAGAAAGGCACAGCCATTTGGGCTGCTGAGAGGCTGATTCGCTGATTCACATTCTGACCAGTATCTCACATCATTAAAAGGACAATGACTGCTACCCATAACAGTCTCCTGTCTCTGGTGCAGTAAAGTGTGGAAGGGGGCAACTCCTCAGAGGTTTTTGCATTAGAGGATGTTTTTCTCCCCCATCTTGTAGTTTAAGATCAGATGGACAAAGGTAGGTGCCCTGTGTATCAGAGCCTCTAGCCTATTCCCAGAAACTCCCCTAAGAAGCAGGGATTCATTCTCTTCAAGGAACCCTCACCTTTATTGAGTGTCACATCCATGACAATTCTGTCCTTTGGGCCGGGTCCTTTGCGGCTGGAGGAGGAACTGTCTACCTCGTCGGGGCCAGGGACCGGTGTGCTGGCGCTGGAGCTGGGGGAGCTGGAGCGGCTCAGTAAGGTGGGAGTCGCACAGGGCGTGAGGCTCGGGCTGCGCAGCCGTGTGCGCACAGTCAGGGTCACCACTCCTTTCTTGAGTTGCTGGAGACATTAGAGAAGCCCAATAAGGCGACATGGTATGCCAACATTTGCCAGTAAACCTGCATACAGTAATTTGTGGCAGTGAAAGAATATGAAGCCCAGGGTGTTAAATGGCACTGAACACAGAGAAGCATGAATCTCTCCTGTAGTACATCTATGTTACCTTAAACCTCTGAATGGCCTCCTGATGGGTCAGCCCTTGTAGAGACTCTCCATTAACTTCTAGGATTTCATCCCCTGGTAATCAGATACAAAAAATGAAGTCAGCAATATATAGAGATGTAAAAAAACCCTTCCTGCACACATAAGGCTGCCTGCTACTATAAGTCCAATTAACTGCATAGTAAAAAGGTTTTTATTGTTCTCAGCTTGTTTTCCCTTGTCCTAATGCCTTTACAAGTTAATAGTGATGAATTAGCAAAGTAAGGACTGCTCTTCAGCAGAGAGCCTTAGCTTGGCATTTTCATACCAATAAACAAGCTAAAAACACTATGGATTTTAACTAAAGTCTGAAAATAGATGCTCATAACTTGAAGTCCAAACGGACTACAAAACTCCCTTTCTTTTGTGTATATCAAGAGAAGAAACAAGAATCTAAGTGAAATGCTACCACATGCCACTCCAAAGCCTGTTCAGAGAAAACGTGTCCTCTTACTAAAGACCTGCAGACAGAGAAGGGAGTAGCCCACACACTGCAATAGCAAATGCCCTTTTCACCCCAAAGAACACATCCCCTCACATTTCTACCTGCTTCCAGGCTCTTGGTCTTACTACTTACACCCAGCTGTGTTGATCTATCTTCATTTTATTAAAAGGACAGCAAAGTGCTCAGGACCAGATCCACTTTCTGCAATTTTAATTGCATCTGTGCAAAATGAGATGGGGCAATGCCATCAGACAAGTCTACTCTTCCTCTTCTTTCCTTGCCCCAGTTTAAAAAAAAAAAAAAAAAAAAAAAAAAAGTACACAAGCTCTGAAGAGCCTGCAGAGGCTTGCTGGGTTTACGGGACAGCTGCTACTTATTGGCTTCCCATGATAAGTGCACAACCTGTGTTACAGGGATGTGAGCTTCCCTCTGGCAGCAAGTGTGAGAGTTGGCACCAAAAGCAGTCTCAAATACATCAAGTGTGATGAGATGTAATGAGGGGAATGAGAAGCAGAGAAGTAACACAGGAGAAGCTTGAGAGAAGTAACACAGGAGCAGCTTTCTACAGATGAGGAGTAACCCAACCCCTGCAGAGGTGTTATAAACCAACGCTCCAAACTCATGGTCACTTTGTACTTCCAACAGTGTGTAAGAGTTTATCTGTCTGGTGCAGGAGCACTCAGACCACGGTAAAAACTTACATAGACCAGGCTATACATCCAGCTCAGAGATAACATTAGAAAAGCAGTAATAAAATCAGGATACACCTACTTCTCTAATCAGCTGGGTGGTCTTACTGCCGATCCCATACTTCCTCTTCTCTTTTTCTGGTTATGACTCTTACTTGTTGATTCATGTCAAAATCACACCAAGAGGCTCAGACAACACTAAAGGCCCAAAACAGCCTCTCCAAAGCATGTCCCTCTGTATAACCCCTTCTTGGACCAGCATCTTTAAGCCAGATGTTAGTTGGACAGACACATTTCATTGCTATCTATTACTCTCTCCAACCAAAGAACTTATGGCTTGGGCAAATAAAGTTCACTGAAGAGAAAGGGAAAAACATCATGCTGTAGTTTCCTCTTCTCAATGTGCAATATAATCAAGTTAACTGCTATGAATTATATTGCCTAGGATGGACAAACAGGGTGTGTTCATCCTCCATAGACTCTTGCTGATGGCCAGGTGCCTAAATAAAGCTGTGCTTGAATTTTTCTGCTGGACTGAAATAATATCCCACTGTGGTCCTTTATATGCAGCTGGATTCCTCCTACCATACCTTCTTTAAGCCTGCCATCAGCAGCCGCTGCTCCATTTGGGAATATCGTCTTCACAAAAATCCCCATGCGTCCACGAGCAGAATCCTGACCTCCCACAATGCTGAATCCAAGACCCTACAGAAAAGGGAGAAGACAACACACAGCTGGTACCTTACACTGTTATCACCTGTGTGAGAAAGACTGGTGCTAACATACAACACAAAGGAAAGATGAAAACTTAATAGCTGCTGCTGACTCACACTGCCATCTCACCCGCTGCTTGCGTTTCCCGATTTACTTTCACTCTAATATCAACGCACCTATCAGTCCAAAAAGTACCAGCTGGCACCTTAAGCTAAAAGGCAAAAATGCTATTTTGACATTTATTTCTTTTTTTAAGCACTGGGTCGATGGCTTTATGTTACCCGATTCCCATTTTAAAAATTGTAACACATTGCTCTTAAATTGACAGCTAGGAGATTCCCACCCCTGAGTTCTATATCCAGGATTAAGTGTAGTTTTCTCTGCTGTCACAGATCCTGCATTTCCTCAGGAAAAAGAAAAGCTTAAGAACATGACATAAGGTTAGTACTGTAATGTCAGGAATGCAGCTGGAATGGGGCTGGTGTGGGGGGGCTGCCATGCACATGTACATTTTTAATTATTGTGGAGACATGTACCATGTTGTATTTAAATAAATCTAGATCAATACACTCCCCAGGGCTCCATCTGTTAGCTCTTGCCCCTGTGCTGCCCCAGCTGGCTGCGGGACTGTCTTGTAAAGCTGATCAGGGAACGAATGAGCACAGCAGAACAAACCTCTCCCCCTCTGCTGAGTTATTTCCCAGCTAAATAACTTCCTTCATCCATT